TAGCCTAAACGGCTGAACGGGTCTCCATGAAATTTGGCACAGGTTTAGAGCATAGTCTGGAAGAACACATAGGCTACTTTTTATTCCGGGAATAGTTACGGTTCCCGTGGGATTCATTAATTTAGTTTTTTAATGTTCACTCGATCATTCTGCAACGGTTCAACATATCTTATTGAAATTTGGCACAGATATAAAACAAAGTCTGGAGAACACATGAGATAAGCTTCATCCCAGAGAAATGTCCGGTTCCCGAGGGATACGTAGCTTTTTGTAATTCATATAGTTCGTATGTTTTCTAATACCACGCGGGCGAAGTCGCGGGCAACAGCTCGTATATTATAAATGCGAAAGTTTAGATGGATGAATGGATATTTGTTAGAGTTTGTAGCCTAAACGGCTGAACGGTTTTCGATGAAATTTGGTGTAAATGTATAGGATAGTCTGGAAGAATACATAGACTACTCACTTTTGTTTTTTTGTTAATTCCACGCAGACGTAGTTACGAGTGAAAGCTAATGTTATATAAGAGCTTAGTAGGAAACAATGTTTTATTTTTGTCTAAATTATAATATTCTTAACATATAGTTTATGACACTTAACTGATAATAAAAATATTTATTCAATGGAAATGATTTTATCGAGAATTCCTTATCACTGACGGTGCTTTTAATTGCTTCTGATAAAATATTTCATATTTTTACTATCTATAAGCATGCACCAAGAATTATTATAACGATTACATAAACAAAGTAATCATACTCATACTAATATTATAAATGCGAAAGTTTATATGGTTGGATGGATGTTTGTTAGAGTTTGTAGCCTAAACGGCTAAACGGATCTGGATGAAATTTGGTATAGATGTAGAGGATAGTCTGGAAGAACATATATGCAACTCACTTTTGTTTGGTTTTAATTTCACGCGCTCGGAGATGCGGGCGAAAGCTAGTATTTCATATTTACACTATCTACAGCCATGCGCCAAGAGTTTTTATAACTATAATATGAACAAAGTAATCGTTTTATTTTACTATTAGGGTATTTTGAAGAGGCAGGATTCTTAGTGCTCTAGAAAAAAGGTTTGGTGCATTTTTTTCTCGCACTATTATTTATGCGTATGTCTTTTATATTATATTACAAACAATAATTATTCATTTAATATTCACTTGTTGAAGAACAAGTCCCTAATATTAATAACACCAAAGATGCGCGTCAAAGACTTTTTATTTTATTTGTTATTTTGCCAGTCCATATCGAGCAAGATTTAATTTTCCTCTCACGTCTGATCATTTTAACTTGCTTCCCACGCGTTTATGTCTCTTTTCTGTTGACTACACAATTTACATTCGTATTCGACGCAGATTGTTTCGAATTATTGTTTAGGTATAAAAATTATTGTATAACGAACGTGACTGATTTAAAAACATTTCGATCGCTTTGCCTTTATTATTTATGTAACACGTGTGCGGTTCTAGACTTGAACATACGGAAAGGAAAAAAACTCTAGTACCATCATCAATTTTTGTTTACTTTCAATTGTTTCTTCTGTTGTTTTTATCTCGTTTTCTTAAATATTGGATACTTCTTCTATAATTAAATAATCTAAGTCCATATTCTATACTAACATTATAAATATATATATTTTTATATGTATTGAAATAACTCAAAAACTACGGGGCCTAATTAAAACAACACCATTAAAAAGTTGCGTTATAATATATCAAAGACTGCTTTTTTAATTTCACGTGGACGAAGTCGCCAGCAACAGCTAGTTTTTCAATACTAAGTTACTGTAAGCTGGAATATTCCCGTAGATATATTATTTCATTGATTAATCAAATAATAGTGGTTGTTATACGAAGATGTGTAGTTTATTGACGTCATATTGGTCTACGTGAGTTTTGCTTGCATGTAAGTGCAGTGATTGCATTTCGCGAATGGCGTCGGAAAGTTTACACAAAGGTGTCGCATTTGATGCTGTGGGTTATTGACCTAACTCTAAATGGATAATATTATAACAGACATTATTATTTATTTGTAAATAAGTATGTATATCAAGTCACGGAATAACAAAACTCCAATTCCTAAGCTATCATAAAAACACTAGGTTATGTTGTGGTACATTACGGCATATCCTAATAAACATCCATCTATCTATCTAAACATTAGTATTTATAATATTAGTAAAATAAGATTCAGAGAATACTGAGATCTAAGTCATTAAATTAATTCGCCATTGGATAAAAATCTTACTCATTATAAATGGATGGATGGATGGATGTTTGTTAGAGTTTGTTGAATAAACAGCTGAATGGATATTGATGAAATTTGGTATAGATGTAGGAGATAGTCTGGAAAAAAGGCTACTAACTTTTATTTTTTAATTCCACGAGCACCAAGTCGCGGGCGACAGCTAATAAATACAATCAATTGGTACAGGTACAACCTGTGCAATATAAAAAATTACATAATTAAGATCTATTTAATTGCTAAATATAAAACAATACTGCTAACATATGTAACAATATAATGTCGGTCGCCGCAAAGGTTTTCGCTGATTCTGCTGTAATGCTAACACGGATTATTTTCTTACTTAGCGACAGAACAAAGTCGACTATCAAACGATATTGTCGTTGATTTTAAATTCGTACACGTGTAAAGTGGTAATAAATATTTGATAAGTTTTATGCAGAAGTGAAATATGAAACTGATGCAGAGAAAGACTGTGACATGCTGTGTTAATGGAAAGACTTTCAGTGTGAGATATTGTACTGAGGTATTTAATTTTTACTAACCTACATTTAATGCGCAATTTCATTCAACTATCTATATATTGTTTACAAACGTATAACATAAAAGGAGTCTAAAATACGTATTGTTATGAAGCAGAAACTATTTACTTAACCTGTGTTTTCTTTTATGAATAATTGATACGTTTAGTTCGATGATCGCATCTTAATCCATAAATATGAAACGTAAAAAGTTCTTTACGTTTTTCTTTATAATATAAAAAGCAATTAACTAGTGTTGTTTGAGGCTTTCTTTTTAACTACTGTTAAGAAGAAAATTAGTACCGTGCTGTAGAATTAGCGCAACTCTAGATTATCGGCATAAACGTCACGTCCCTAACTGACAGCTGTCAATGTGACTAGAAGGATGGATATATTGGCGCGCATTCCTGGCGAGTCTCGAGCGGAGTGTTAAAATTAATATTGCTAAGTACAATTATATTAATTGTCTAAAACTACGGACCTACTGCTTCACTCTTCTACTTCGGTAAATTCTAATTGTAGCGATTCATCTCATTTTACTTACTTCAATGTATTTCATGATATGTATTTCTCATCGCTGCCTTAATGATTAAGAAACATAGCTAATATAAATGGGAGGGTTGAGTCAAAGTTTAGACTTAAAATACGATGATGTCCCCTAGAGGCCGGCGCCGTTCCCGTCGCCGACGCGACGCTCTACGTTGCCGCCATAAGCGTGTGTCACAGCTTTCTATTTCCACATCTCACTGTCTCTTAGATGCTCTTAATCATAATATAAATATATTCAATATTTTTTCAGTCATCTTTAAAGCTAAATGTTAGCAATTTAAACGCTTAATCGTATTTTTATTTACTCTCGTTTTATGTAGGTTGGTTAGAAACAATCTCGAAGTTATTAATTGGTATTAGTGTTATCGAACTGTAATTATCTTTGAAGCTAGAGGAACAACTGTAGAGTTCTTGCTGTCATTCTCTTCTGAATTTAGTAATTTCTCATCAGTCATAGATTAGTGCAGTTCAATTTCTAGTTAATGGCACTTCCTTAGCGCCAATTTTATTCTTGTTTGAGAGAGACTTACAACAATACTCAATCGTAGATTACATTAGCATTTTAAATATTACAAATTGAAGTAATCTAATATCATGTTAATATTAATGCAACTTATGAATGAAGCGGTCAAAGTAAACTTGACTTTGCCTTTTGCAAAGTCGTCTGGCTCTTGCGTCCGAGGACAAAGGAATTGCGTCTCAAAACGAAACTAATGCACACAAAGACAGTAATATTTATTATTATTATGCCGTCAACCAAATAAGGTAGGTTTCCCTTTACTTTTATTGTTTTTATGACCTACAAAGAATGTTATATGAATAAAATTGTATAATTTGCAATGTTGCTTAAACAATCATTTACAAAAGTGTTAACATATGGTCTTGTCACGATAAAGAATCACTAGGAACAAAAGAATCATGTTACAAGAAATATTTGAAGATTTTTGTGTGGGTTAACTTAAAAGATTTTCGTCCCCTTGAGTTAAGTAGTATCAAAAAATAGCATAGTAATTAATATTGTAAAAAACAAATATATCAACAAGTTTCTGATTGACTCTTAATTGAATTTGTACAAATGCGAAGTTTTATAATCAATTATTGTAATTTGAATCGAGTTTTGTACAGAAGAATGATGTACAGTGGTAGGCAATTTGCAACCTCCACGGCGTATCCTCAATCCACATAAAGAGCTAACGGAAACAAGTGGGCGTTGCGCGGAACGTTTTTAAAAACCTTCATCTCATACATTTTTAACTTAATTTGTTTTCTTAATTTCATGATCAAAATGAAACAAAGACATTGCAAAGACAAAGAAAGACTACTGAAGCTTATTTGGGTATCACAAAATATTGATTTTAATGGCGACGTATACCACAGATAATCAAATTTCCTGCGTTAGGTATTTATTTTTCTATCAAGTTACTATTAGCGATAATGATACCTGCTCTACGACGGGCTTTACTACCGAGACGATACCATAATACTATCATCTATGTGCGGAACGCGTTTCATACATATGGTGGCATTAATATAAAGTTAAATATGTACGTGCATCATACCATCTCATTTCCACAAAGCTATTCTTTACAAAGTGCGAGCGAGAGAACGTTGCGGGGGGAAACTGTCTGATTTGATAAAAGCAACCGCTGAACCGGACAAAAATTCAGTTTGAATCGAACATGCGAGTGGTTAGTGTGTCGCCGCTCGGAAACATTCGCGTCGTGATTAAAATGTGACGACGAACCTGAATGAGTGATAAATATTATTCAAATGTATTGTTATGTTTTCGTGAATTACATTAGGCAATAGAATTAACAGTGTGCAGAACAATAACCGCGCAACTTCGATGACGTGGGCGCGACGCGTCCGTGGATTCAAAGTTTATTGCGACGAAAATCGAATGAAAAAGAATTATTAAACTTTTCTTGTGATCTCGGTGTGCACTGAGGGCTTATATCTTGAACGTTACTGTCAGTTCGCACACACGCCGACACGTGATCGCCGAAAATTCTCGAATAAATAAGGGAACTGTCTGTACAGTGCTTGTATCAAATTGTGTTTATTCGTACCGGATAAATAGTTCTTTGCCGAATTATGGTTGTTGCTAAAGTCGATAACATGGCTTCATACACCACGTATACAGGAAAACCCAAAATTTTCTTCCCAAAGAAGGTAAGTCAATAATTAAATTATTACATATGTATATATATATATATGAAAAAATATAGAGAAACGAAGGCAATTAACACATAAATCTATTTTATTTCTATGTAATAAATAGGTTATAGGATTGTAAAACGCATTATTTTAAAGCTAACCTCGAATGTAGAAAAGATAAATAACATGAGCAAGTTAATAAATCGCATGTTAGAATGAAGAATAGAGACAGGATCCGAAAATGGCATAAGGTGCCTTTTATGGCACAAAAATAATTACCCACATCGGTACACATGTCTAGTTGTTGAACGAATGAGATAAAATTAAATTTATTACTTTGCTTTCCTACTTCAATAGGGTTTTGCTTAGACAACTACAAATAAAATAAATTTGATTTTCGCCATTTTGACGCTGATGGTTGTTGGTCGCGATGAAGAGTTTTTAAATTAAACATATTGAAAAACTTAACTATCATTACCATCGAAAGACATTTTTAATTTGGACGAAGTAAAAATCATTTCCAAACAATCGCCTATCTATTTTTATTTATCTATGTAAAATACATACGGTGCGGTGTTTGTTAATTTCTAACAATGTACCATGAGGAATTACACTGCTAAAAATACTGTAAAGACTATAAATGAGTCGATTTAAAGGTAAAGTTAAAAGGAACTGATTAAATGTCCTTTTTTTATAAAGACTGAAAGGGTGTCAATAAATTGATACTTGTGTTTTCAGTAGTAACCCATAGTATACTTACTTATGTCACAAAATTAACTATTAAGTTTTGTCTACATATGTACTTTGTGATTCAGTATCGCCCCACATCGTCGACCCACTTCAGTGCTGTTCACACCTTATGGCCTTGGTTTTGTTCTGCGAAATTTTACATTTTTAGTCACTTGATGGTACGTTACAATACGGCACTAACGGAAATTTTGAATTTTAGAATTCTCGAAAAAAAATCTTGAGTATTTTATGATCAGACGTCTAACAAAAGTGAACATGATTAGCGTGGCATTATCGAATGTTTTTGACCATAGGAGGTATATAAAAATGATTAAGACTGAGCTTTTAATAAATTGTAATATTTGCAAGGTCTTCCGTGCAATATATGACCTACAGATGTAAAAGCACTTTAAAACAGCCAACGTAAAATCAACTCAATAACAGATAACATAAAGTCGACATTTCTTAAAACTACACCCAGGTTAAAGGGTAGAGTCGCTCCCACATCTGGGCTTACATGAAAACAATTGAAATTGAACTTTGTAAAGTCTTCGTAAGGTATTTATTTGCACAGGTTATTATCTCTTTGATAGCGCCGCACGCTCTGATAAGGGAGCAGTTCGCAATTCGCATTCACTATACAGCAAGGAGTCTCATTAAATTATGTAGTCTCACCGTTTACGGCACAAATTACTTACGATTACGTCCTAAATAGGCCACGGTCTTAAATAACGATTCTGAATGGAGATAGCTGTTATTACTTCAGATTATTTTTGCCCGACTGACACTAGGATATTTTTCATTATTTTTATGTTCATATTCCTCTGTGTCCTGTAGTCCAAACAGCTTGATTTTCATATAGTTTCAAATTATATACATACACAACTGTTCGTTTTTATTCAGATTAATTATTTTAAAAATATTGCAATCGGAAACATCAATTGTCCGTCGCCTTGACCTGCTGTTATGCATAATAATTGTGTGAACCACTGAATTACATGAGATAATTGTGATCCAAACGAAATAAAAATATAATAGGCACGCTAATCCAGGGGTACCGAACCTTTACATATCAACGTACCATTTTTCTAATGAAATGTTCAATGCAGTCATGTGTGATCAAATCATTTTGACTGTGATTATTAGGTGCATTACTAGAATAGTGATTATTTCACGTTTGTCTTATAACACACTCATACTTTTTTGTGTGTGTGAATTTCGTGATCAGTGACGTTCCCGAAATATTATATCGCGTGCCATCAATGGCACGTGCCATTGGTTCGCCACCTCTGCGCTATTCAAATTCATTTTGTAAATAAATTGTAACATTGCACAACAAATACCACACATTCTATTAGATATCTCGTCAACATTCGTCATGTTCATTTATCTTTGACAACGAAGAACAATATTCAAATGATAAAGTTATTTCTGATAACGAGATGTGATCTGCATATGACCATTATATAAAACGATAAAATTCGTTTCACTATTTGAAGCATAGAGGAGAATACACAAACAGAACGGGAAAAAATTTGAAATAAATAGATAATTTGGTACGCGAAAATGTTATGAAAACGTGCAAAAGAAAATAGTATTTATTGGCAACAACTAAATCAATGAAATACAAAATACAATAATAGTACTCATTAGTTTAAAATACCATATTTTAAGAGCTCGCGCACACCTTTGACTAAACTATGGAATAACTGTTTAGTCTCGCGTTTATTCCTATGAGATTGGTGCGCACAATACTCGATTTTTAGTTGTCTAACTAATCAGTTGAATTGGCTGCGAAACAATCGACAATCACACACCCGTTGTGCGATTATTTAGTCAAAGGTGTGTGCCCACTTAGTATTGCTTTCAGAATGGTATCCCAGTCAGATCCGTGAACATACATTTAAGAGTAGATATGTAGGTATGTGTAATCGAAGTAGAGAGGTCCGTTCCAAATAGAAATCCGCGTACACGACCTCTCTGAATCATGGAGGTTACTGTATTTTTATTACAACACAGAAAATTATGGTTTAAATGTTATTCGACATTAACCTGATTTAGTAACAATTTATAGTGGTCTAGACCATGTTACGGTACAGTAGATTAATTCGTCCGAGTCCCATTCATGAGCCCACAATGAGGCCCGCATTGTCGCAATCTAGATGTCACCGGCAGATCGTGTACTTCGTCCTTTTGTTATTTGCAATTGCAAATTTAGTAAGGAGTCCGCAAATTGCATATAGATCGAATTCATTCAAAACTTCACGTGTTATTTTTCGGTTGCATTTCCTTATATTAGTGACCCTTCTTTAGTTGTTATTTTAGGTATATTCATAAATATCGCGAACTAGCAGGCATTAATGTGGAACTATAACAATGAAATGTCAATTGTGCAAATATCCAAAATAAGAATTCATTTGATATGATTTGTTGTGTCGTTGTTTAGGCTAGTCGGTTTTCAAAAAGTCGATGTTCACAATTTGCCGGTGACAGAGAGATTGTAATGCGATAATCAATCTGCGCCGGCGCCACTTTGCGGCATTGAGGTTAATTTAGACCGATGGGCATACATGAAAAATGTTAAGGGTAATAGCCCCGAACTAGTTCATATTTAAATAATGTTATGGTTATTGCAAAAGTGTATATTTAACCAAAAATCGATTTACGAATTTAAATCGGCCGTAGTATGTGTGAAATATAGATGAACCAGTATTTAATATTATTTTTTATTTATATGGTTATGAGTATTTACGGAAAATAAATTATCTGAACGAAGAGTAAAATTATTTCCATAATCTTGGAGATGGTTTAAAATGAAATGGAAACTGGGAACTTATTCTATATTTTCTTCTAAATTAAGATTTGCGAAAGGAGGAAATAAGGTCCATCTAAAGTGACGTACGTCATTTGCCGTGTTTATTTTTTTGGTTAATTGTGGGTGTGACAAAATTTCTCAAGTGCAGAATACAAATTCTTCAGTTCATCACTATGTGAAGCTTGTCCGCTTTACCATACACCTTGACGCATCATCAAAAAATGACAGATGGTCAGTGGACCTTTTACGTAACTGGACTTTGGTCTTAAACCGCACGAGTGCATTCCTGGCGCGCTTCAATGATGGATACAATGGAGATGCCGGGATCCTCGGGGGAGGGCGGAATGCGGTAAGGAATGTCCAGCCTATCTTCCTGTCGCGTACAATTTTACGACCGCTTATTTTTATATCACATTCTTCGGGACTCGTTTTTCGTTGACTTCTTTTTTAGGCAGTCGCACGTGTTGTTCTGCCACGTTAATTAATTTTTTAAAACATCTGTCGTTTTAAAACGATACAAATGCTATTAACTAAAAGGCAATGTATTTTTTGCATTTTTACTACATTTAATTTGTTTTTCAAGTAAAAAGTACTTTGTCGTAAATTGATGAATGATGTTAATATAAAATTGAATAGAAATGAAACTGGACTGAACTGAAACTGAATTCTAATCTGAACCTCTATTTTGTAGTGCTAGGACGCGAAAAGATTAAACCGATTTCATCATGTACGGAAACGAGTCTCATGATATCTAGGGCAACGCCGTGTAGCGATGCCGCTGGAATCCATCAGCGATTGTATTCATGAATGACTTTCCTCAGAGGAAGCGACGGTGGGCGCCAAAAATAGCGTTTCCGTCCAACAGTCGGGCACTTTAAGTAGGAAGTCCACACGCCGGCTTCCGGCCGCCTACTGTCGCGACACTTAACGAGTTTTATAACGCACTTATGAGCGTTGCAGCGAACCCACGCGCAGCTCCAGCTCTGAATCAAATTGCTCTCATACGTTGAATCGAAATTATTGACCGGCGGCGAGTCGACCCGCCGGCGACACGACCGCATCCTCGGCCCCTTCAATTAACAATGTCGTGTCGCTTCCTAATTACAAATCACGTTAGCTTTGATTAATCGCTCAAGTCGTCTCGGTACAATAAACAGAAGACTTACTGACGCTGATTATTCGTCTTTTTAATGCGACGTTTATATTCGATATTTTCCTTTCTCAATTGACGTTTTCCAAATTTCCCATATCTGTTATCGGGCATTTATCTTTATTTAAGATTTATTTATAGTTATATAAAATGTACAAAAGTATGTCTCTTCAAGATTATTATCAATGTGATAAAACAACAAATACATAGAGAAGTACATACTAAGGTTAATATCCGGTACGAGCAGTACATAATGTACAGTATTTAAATGACAAAAATTGTGATGACACTAACAATAAAAATTGTAAAATCGTTTTTAACCGACTTCAAAAGATGATGTTCTCAATACGGCTGTATTTTCCATGTAATCAGTAACCCTTAAGTCATTAAAGTTATTTAACAGATTTTTTATATTATCATTACCAATTAATAGTTCAGAAAAGGGCTGTCTATGAATTTACAGCTGCAGGTATTTGTTACCTTGATTCTGTAGCAAAAACAAACTTATTAAAACAGCCTCAAACATTATTTAAACAAACTATGTGTCATAAGAATAAATTAAAACTAAGTAATAACGGAACAATAAAACGTCTTATGAATAAATATGAATGCATTTCCGAGAACAAAATAGCAAGATTTGAGTCGTGTTTAAAACTGCGATCATGTGAATATGGTCCTGTAGCGGCCCACGCCTGATCCACGTACCCTATATGGTCTGTATTCGATGTAGGGTTTTTTCTTGTAACAAAACGTGGATTATTCACTTAAACGATGAGTCTAATATGTAAACATACAAGCCTCGGTAATTGGTTTCTCCTTTTAAGACAAAGGAACTAAAATATATTTACAATTAGCTTTCGCCCGTGACACCGTCCGCATGGAATTAAAAAAAAAACAAAAGTGAGTAGCCTATGTGTTCTTCCAGACTATACTCTACATCTACACCAAATTTCATCGAAATCCGTTCTACTGTTTTGGCTACAAACTTCAACAAACACCCATCTATCCATCGATCTAAACTTTCGCGTTTGTAATATTAGTACGATTAGTATGAAGTATGATTTCAAACTCTCGTCCTATGTTTTTAGGTTTCCAAATCTATGGAACGATATTAAATATTGGATACTAAGTTATGCTTTCTCCACTTAGTCTCAGCAACAATTGACTTGAAAGAAGATATATTTTGTAATTAAATATGAACAATCCATTACTTTTCTTCCGAATTCTTTTTATTAATCTCTAGTTCGTATTTAAAACGAAGCATTTACATTTAATTGTAACTTTCTCGCAAAAACAAAGAAAACCTGGTCTACGTATTAAAGGTCAGCGACCTATGAATCAGCCATTCATAAACATTACGATGAGTCATTGATACCTTGGGATAAATTATTGTCTTGCAGTTAGGAACGTATATCACGGCGTTTAATTTATTATACAGAAATATAGACATTTGTTGCCGATATCTAAATCATATTAATTTGTTAAATATTTAAACTAGACATTAGTGTATAATATTATAATCAAGAAAGTTCTGTATTTTTGTATTATTCTATGTATTGAAATAAATCAAAAACTACTGCTCCGATTTTAAAAATTCTTTCACTGTTGGAATGGTCATTTATCTGTGAGTAACATATATTTTTTCATTAGTTTTTAATTTGGCGCAGACGAAGTCGCGAGCAAGAGCAAGTATTTTATAAACATTTTTAATTTAGGATAGATTAGGAGCGCATAATGTAAACCGGTGTATAAATTTGATTTTATTTTTCCAGGTACGTTCAGAGGAATCCCTGCTTGCTCCGGAAAAGACCACTAAAAGTGCACGATGGGTATGTTTGTTTGTGATTAAATATTATTAATATAGTTTTATATTTACTAACTTAGTGTAATTTGCATTGTCTTCGTAAATGTCTAAATAAATAAATCAATTACTAAATTAATAAACAATTTTTAGACGCATGCTGTGTTATGAATTCCGATTTCGCACGAATCTTTATACTTCTTTACTTTTCTGCAATATTTAAGTGCATTAAAATAAATATAGTTCAGACAATTTCTTTGTATCTCATGACCATTTCCTCATTTCTTTTTCCTTTACGAACGAAATACTGTTGAGAATATACAACTTAGAATGCCTAAAGTTAATGCCTCGACCTTGTATATTTCCATTGTGTAATTGACGCAATTTTCCTACGCAATACATTTTTTATTTACCATTTGGTTTACTCGATTTTGCAAAAAGTAGGAAGATTTCCGTTTCTTTATCATTCAGACAAGGCATGCTTACTACGGTCATAGTAAAGTTAAAATTCACTATAAAAATAGTTAAATAACCGTATGTTCGTTTTTATACCGATTATGCTCTTATTCCCTGCTAATGTTATTCGTATTTGAAATTATCTAAAT